TACGAAACTTTCTGTGAGCTTCGGCCTTGCTGCTGATGATAAACTACGAGCAAAGTCAGGAGTTTTAATTAAATTTGCATACAACATTTTTGCAGCAGTCTCATCAAAAGTTATGGCAATTGCACGGCTCCAATTGTTTAAATTAAATGGGAATGTACTGCCATTTGGCCGGCTTAACTGTCCAGGTGCGACAGACGCAATTGGGTGGGGGAATCGACTCGCTCATATGGCTCATCATAAAAGGCAATGGCTCAGAACATTGCGTATACGCAGCGTGCAACGCGTCCTATTTAAACTGCTTTTAATGACGGCACAGGTCGTTGAGAAGTGAGTCACTGGCTGAGGGTAAGCAGCCGACAATCAAACAGAACATGATCCAGACATATAGTGCATATATCTCCCGGTAGTGGCAGACGGGTGGCGTTGCAATTGCAGCTGAACAGTTGCTCCTCGCGATTTACTGCCTCTTGGGGGCTTTATTTTTTAATGGCTTCTGCTAGTGCCTTGGTTAAGCATCCATTGAGTCATTGTATCTACCTTGTAATATGAAAATCGCTTTGGCAAAACTTCTTGATTGCGACTCGCACTTGATGCCATTTCCGTTTTTAAGGAGCTTCTGCTGTGCAGATCGGTTTGGGGATAAAAATAAAATTCCATTGTAGCAGAGTTGTTATATACAGAGTTGTTTAAATTAGAGAATTTAAAACATAATCATTACATTGAGATATTTTTGGCCTGGATTATTCTTACACATTATTAAAGATATTCATGTCAGGACAAAACAGGACCTCATGAATACTGTAATATCCTATAAATAAATCAGTTCTCATTAAAGTTGATAAATATAATGAATATTTCTTAGCCAAGCAAACATATAAGATACCTATATTCATAAAAGTATTTTGTTGTGTTTCCAAGACCCATAGACAAACTTACTTGATTGGCGATATCCTCTGTAAGGGTATGCAAAATCTCTTTGTTGGCTTAAGTTTCTCCGTCTGCCATTTTGCCTTTGTTTTGTGATGCCAATAAAACATGCATTTCACTTTCAGCCCGACCGTTGGCAAACAATGGCGAAAGGTGGAAACCGAGGGGCAGGCATTCGTATCACAAAAACATCCTTCCCATCGCAACGCGAGGATCCTTTGTGCAGCGTGCACTCAATTATTTGGTCGTTACTTGTTTCTTATTACCTTTTGCCTACCGACACTACGAAACATAATAACTGCTGCAACTGAGGAATGAGCGGAGAAGGCTTTGTTTGTTCGGGCCGGCAATACAATTGAGTTGCGGAATGACGGAAATAAATGCGAATTTAATATGCAAAGGAATCGAATGCAGACAGTCCCAAGATTGCTCAAAGGATATCAGTTGAAGATTACTCGGCAATACGATTGCGGAATGAATAAGCAAAGTGTTAGGTTATTTCAAAACAACATAGATTTTGTTTGAAAAATCGAACATATGTTTGTAATACCTGGGATGCATTTATCTCTCCGTATTATTTCTTTAAAATCTTATTTTTGTGCAAATCAAAAGAACAATCGTCTATTGCTGCTGGTCAAGAATTTATTTATCTTTTTGGGTTATTATCAAAACACAATACATCTACCCCTGGTAAAAGGCCTCAAATGCCGAAAATGATAAAGAAAAACGCAATACATTTGTATCGATGTAAATGCCTAAACTTATTTAAAAGCTTTGTTTCTTAACTAAATTCTTGGATCATAATTTTTCAGGCAGGAATCCTTTAAGTGAACAGGTAACAACAATTACTTGAAATATAGTAGAATTTATGAACAAATTCAATAATAGTCGTTAATTAAAGTGGTTAATGCTTATTATATTATGATAGGAATTAAAAATAACAGCAATTAAAAAAATGTGTTTCATTTTATTAAAATCCTTTTTGCAAACTTAGGAAGAAGATAATCTAATTTGGAAAGGTCACAGATTAGTTTTAGTTGTGTATACCATTCAACCAACCCATATTGAGGAATATTGAGTGTTGATTGCCTTTATAAGTCAATCGCTTTCATTTAAGCTTATTTGGGACGTTCTTTTAGTTATTACTTTACAAAAAATAAAAAAATTTTTTTTTACTTTACTTTGAAAACTGAATTACCTACTTTGAATTGAAAATTTCTTACTACATTATTAAGTTAAATTCAATAACGTAGCCTTTAGAAAAAAAAGAAAATTACATATCTTATGAAATAAAATTTTTAAAGTAAATATGACTAAAATCGTATCTAATATTTTAACTATTGATTTACAAATTTTCATATCATATTCAGCAGTTCAAGTTTCGTTATTGTATTTAGTTCAAATATGTAATACGAATCTGGGAATAGATATAGATATTTATTTTTATTTTATTATTGTTTTTTCAGTGTTTTTTAATATTTTTATTCCTTGCTTATATTTTGCACAGACTAGCCAATGATAATAATCCAGTAAATACTGGTTTTAACTGCCTGTTGAATCGAAACGGTTAACAGAGTCCTTTACCAACAGACTGAGAACAGCGAAGCGAGACCCCTGTTCCAATTTTCACATTATCCTTCGTGACCCTCCCCCGTCTGAAAACGGGGAAAAGGAACGGAACGAAATGTGGAACACGAAGGGATGTTCTGGCGAACTGAAACGAATCGGAAAGACTACAGGGGACAGTTTGGCACGGATTCGTAGGGGAAAGTGGAAACACAAGGAATCACAGCCCCGAGGAATGAAACGAACAGAACGCAAAGGACGAAACGTCGTGAAACAGAAGGGGTATAATCATGTGAATTGAAATGGACCACTTGGCATAGGCACAATGCGAATCGCGAAATGCTCCGCATTCAGTTTGAAATTTGCATGGCACAGTGGCGGACGTCGAGCGGAAAAAAAGCGCGTTATTCGAAAACCTGAAAAAGAAGGCATCATAAGTTTGAATTATTTCGCGGGCGCTTCTTTGGATGCTTCGAAAGTGAATGCACTTGGCAGCTCCAGATTCATATTCAGAGTCAGTTTCTGATTCATGTTCGGATTCTGATTCATCGGCGACCGGTCTTTGTTTGCGCGAATGTGTGCCAACCAGGATGTGGGCGTGTCCGCCCCCGCCGCCCGATAAAGTGAAGTGCCGAAGAGTGGAGCGCAAGAATGCCCCCCGTTTTTCGAAAGTGTGCTGTGAAATCCAGTGAGCTACGACTGTGAGTGCAATGTGTCTTTTATAAATCAAGGAAAATCACATTTTAAATTGCTGCGCATTAGAACGGATACAGATACAAAGGCAGGGCCACAAGGAGGCAGCCAGGCAAGATCGAAAGTCAAACACCGTCAAACGTTGATTGCGTCGTCGTCTATCCACGAAACGTGAAAAATGAAAAAGAACGAAGGCGAACGTGAAGGATTTGACTGATGTGAATGGAGTAGAAGATGTGACCTGGCCGGAATCCCGCCTCCTCCCCCTCCCCCTTGACGATGGCACGTGCTATTGTTTGGCCCCCATCTATTTCAATTTGATTATATTGATGAGCATATGATGTAATATATGGAAATGTAATCTGATTAGAGGCAGACTTATCCATGCACTCGCAAATCGTGCTCTCCCATAGACTTTAAAACTCATTAATGTGCAAAGACGCCAATCCCCCAGGTCCTTGGTATCGTTAGAAGGCATAAGGCGAAAAACAAGCAGTGCCAAGCTGGCAAATCAATAAAGGTGTTGAAACAGGTGCCAGACTTGGCCAAGATATTGGATAGCAGTTCTAAAAAAAACTCAAGAATACAAAGAAAACGAAAAGGATTTTCTGCTTGGCAACGCAAAGCAATTCAACAAAAGTATCACATATCCAGACAGTGGGTTGCGTTTATTAATTGAGGGGGAATTCGACAAAAGTGAAGTATGTATCAACAACTATCAAGTATTTCTCTAGGAATTCAGTTACCGGGTGTGCAACAAAGAGTACGCTGAGCTTGCTAGGAGATAAGACAGTTTTTGTCCACATTAAAAAGGAACAGGGAAATAGATGGGCTAGTCATGGAAAAAGTCCTCAGTTATTTTAGTGGATTGGGAGGTAAACATATTATTTTTAAATATGAATATTTTTTTTTTTTTATTTATTTTAATTTAAATTCCTAGCACTACAAGTTAAACTTATATATTAATGTGCTAGTCACGTGACTAAAAACTGCATAACTGCATAATTTTACGTCCTATTACTTTTTATTCATTTTTGACAATTATTAGCAAACCCTTAAATCGCCTGATTCTTACAAGAGATTATGCGCTAAAAATCATTCTTTATGTTTTATGATTTTATTTTCAAGCGACCCTATTACCATTGAACAGGTAGAAAAACAAAATGTTACCTTTCGAGAATGGTGTCGCAGTATAAGACAAACTTGTAGCATAATATTTATTAAATAAACAACGCAAATTAGAAATATGAACTTTATATGCAGAATATACAGCAATAATTCGGTTAAAAAAGGTTCAAGGGGAGATAATTTCTATTTGGGCACTTGTTACTCGCCTTTCACAGCAAACTCCGACTGTCTATGAGTGAATTAGGATAATCTCGGAAGCTAATGGACCGGATTCCTCGCCCGGAAAATAAATATCAATTTGTTGCTTAGCTACCCTAATTACACGTTGGTCCGCATCGACAGACATCTTTCTAATCGCCTCATATTATGGAGTGCAATAATGCATTAGGACTTCCCATTTTTTGCTATTTGGGGACTTCGATTTGCCGGCTCTGGGAGCCCTGAGCCGGATAAATGGGGTTCTGGCATTCATTTGGAGGAGCCGACACAGTTTCGGGGCAAAACGACTATTTGGCCAACAAAAAATAACGAGCAAGCCATTAAAAATTTGCCAAACTCAGCAGAAGTGGAGGAAGTAGAACTAATGGAGAGTGGAAGAGGAGGACGAGGAGGAGAAATGGGGGCCATGCAATTCATTAATTTATTGACTTATAATCAAGCCAGGCCAAAACTTATGCCCAGAGGCAGAGCCGGATAAATATCCATTTATCACATAAATAGAATGCTAACAGCAGTGAATCCTTGGTGGTTTTCTGTTTTCCGTTTTCCTCGGACCGAACTTATATTTTCGCCTTTCTAGCCTGGCTGCTGCGGTTGGCTTTGCCAAATAAAGCAAGAAATAAGTTAAAACATACGTTCTCTGCGGTCTGACTCGGTGAAATAAAAACAAAAACCCTGGGCCAGAGGCGGAAAAAGACAGTCACGTCCGTACTACTACAACCCCTCCGGTGGGGGAAATGCGGTATGCAAATTCAGCCGAGAAGACTTCATAAAAGCAGTGCAAATAATTAAATAACATTGCGGGAGCAAACAGCACGAACCAGGAGCAGAATGACATGCTACTTGAGCTGGCGAAACTTGGATTAACTAGCTGCGAGGAAATAAATACGAAATACGAAATCCGAGAGCAAATCCCAAACCAATCCAAGTTCCGCCCAGGTGCGACAACCGACAGATGCCCTCGCCCAATAAAATGTCCTGGCGGGAAAAGGAGTGCTGCGCAGGACGAGGGGCCACCATCCTGGCCGGGCGAAATCCGGGAACTGCCAGCATACTGTTGGCGTTTCTGGCAGCTGTCAGCTTTCGTGGCATGCGAGCGCGTAAGTGTAAACTTCTTTTACTTGGGTGATACGAGAATCCGGCGAACACTTCTGCGCACGGATTTCACCGCCTTTTCGCCAGTTTAGTGGGCGAAATTGATTTTAAAATAATTAGTTAGTAATTCACTCTTACGTCAATATATTTTTTATACCCGATAGATCATCTTGGGTATAAAGCCTATTATAATAAGGAATTCTTCAAAAAGTCCAATACTGCATTAAATATAAATTTGAATTATTTAGTTAACTTATAAATTCAGCTAACTTCATGTTCTAATTCTAATAATATTTATAATTATAATAAGACATCGGATTATATCCATAAGCGTATACGATTCCGAGCAAACTTTGATTAAAGGTAAATTGTTCTTCAAATTTCAAAATTAGATTAAGGCTTAAGGTAATTAAACATTTTTTTTTTTAAATAATTTTATGTAATTTTAGTTTATACATATGTAAAAGTACAATATATCCCATTTGAAATTTTCAAATCGATCTGAACTTTATGAGCCCCCTTAACACTCCAACAATCCGAATCGATGTTTGAACTCTGACTACCCACCGTAAGCCGCCGAATCGCGTAACCAACTGCCAGCAATCTCTTGATCCCCTTGGCATACGAGTCCAGGAAAATCGCTTCCAGGAACGCCCCAGAGACCCTGTGTTTACCATGCGAGTCTGTCCCATATCCCCAGTACCGAATCCCTGCACCCCTGTCCAACTTTTGGCTACGTGCTCCGCTCCTTGCCGTACTGTTTTGTTCTGTTGAGTTGAGTTCCATGTTTCATGTGCCCTGCTGTTCTGTTTGGTGCTAAGCTTTTGTTTTTGCATGCATAGTTAATTCAATTTCGCACATTTTTGTGCAAGTGTCGAGTGAAGCGTTTGCCAAATTTAATTTACATGATGAGATTTGCTTGGCTGCATTGTCGTTGGCAACTCGTTGGCACGATTTTTATAAGCTTGTCGAGTTAATTTAATCGTGCAGTGCAAATTTTCATTTAGTCGAGCGCACACACGCGCTCGTATGATTGTCAGACACCTGTCACCCGAAAGGAAATCTCCCTTTTCGGTGCCAGAAACTCATTACGCATACGCAGCGTGTGAAGATTTTGACTCCGCACCGGCTTGATATTTGCCTTCGTTTTTCGAGTAGTTTATGAAAATGCCTGGCATATTTTCTAGCCCAGCCTAATTGGAACAGGCCCTGTTAGCCGTCTCTGTTTCTGAATCTCGAGTTGATTAAATTTTGTGCGTGCAGAGGGTGTGTGAGTTCGGGTGGGTGGGATGTCTGTTCAACAGGTCGGATGCGTGATGTGATTGTCCTCCCCCTGTGAAATTACCACCGGTCCGAGCTGTCAGTGCATATTGCTTTCATCAAATTGTCTAATTCATAGTTCGGTATAATTGCAGGTTTTTCCCCTAATTTCTGTGCAATTTTCTGAGAGTTGGGTTTGAATAAATTATGAGAGCTTTCGTTTCAACATGAGTGAACTCTTGCCTTAAATTGATTTCACTTCTGTGGTAAGCCTTTAATGTTCTGGGCACGCTTATTTATTTACGCACTGTGCCGACAGTATTTTGGCCAAATATTTGCCGACACAACTTTGGCCTGGGGCTTCTTTTAAAGGCGCTCAAAGTTCTTGCGGCTGAATAATTGCCAAATAATATTTATCATCTTGTTTTTGCGCTTATCTCCCTGCTGCTGCCATATCTAATCAATCTCAGCTGAACTGCTGGCAGTGCCAAGGCAATATCATTAACAACACATGACCCCGTCCCCGTCTCCTTTTCCGTTTCCGTTTCCGCACTCATATGTGATATAATTAAATTGGGCAGCAGCAAAAACGCGCAGGACCACAGACCACAGATTACAGACAGAAAAACAATGGGACAAAGCGAGAACAGGAATAAGTAGACACTCAAATAACACTTAAGCCATCAATCAGCGCACTAGCCAAGGTCAGAAGCAGCGCCACGCCCATGTCCATCTCTGTTAATTATGCCACGACCATGGACCGCATACAAAACAGCAGCCGGGCGAATTCAACTATGTTTTATATAAGAGATACAAGTATTTACCATAGAAAGGCTCCCAAGACAAATGGCGGTCAAATGTCACGTTTAATTTATTTATGGCCAAAACACATAACCGTTGGAGTGGGGCAGGGAAAAGAATAGGGACCCCGACGATGGGCGTGGCCCGAGGGCAGAAGGACCGAGCTTTAATTAAATAACTGCGCTAAGTGGAGCCAAAGAGTTGGCGTCGCTAATACAGCCATTAGCCGAATTCGTTGAGAGCCCATAAATTTCAGGCACCAACTCAGGAATCACAAAATAATTCCCGAAGTCTGTACTCCCTGGAATAAATTCCAGCTTACTCAATTGGGAGGCAAGACGATACTTCAGACTAATAAATAGCTGGCGGCGATAATTAATTAACTCAGGATTGTCTTTCTGTCTAAGTTTTCATATGCAAGCAATATGTTTTTGCGTAAAAGTTTCCCTTGCTGACATATACTGCTTACTTAACATGGGTTATAAATAATCTAACAGTATGTGAAACACAATAGGAAAGTTAAAACTTTTGTCTTTAAAGTAATGACTTTTTATTTCGAAACCATTAATTTAATTTATTTTTGTAAGAAGAAAGAAAGATTTTAACTCATTTTGAATGATATACTATTCTTTATATAAAGTTTAATATGCATTACTAATATTCCTAAGAAATCTTTAAGTCTTAAAAGCAGCTAGTTATATTCTTCTAACAAGGTCAAGTTGTAATATAATTATTTCTTGAATCATTACTCTATTACAATAGTCTAATAAGATCTTTTCCTGCTCGTTTTGATAGTATAATACCTTTTCACACTCCCCACTTAACTCGCATATTTACTGAGACAATAAATTGGGCTTTGGACAAGTGGTGTAACCAACTACTATATATATTTGTCCCTTAATGGACACACACGAGGATATTTGGGCCACGTTTTCGCATCAGGTCCGTAATGAGCTCCCGACATCAATATTAAGCCTAACATAACCGCCCCGCGGTGAATGTTGTTATGTATTTGTTTATTCATGTGTGCAAATTATGAGCAATAACAACGGCAGTCACATCAATGCGAAAGACAACAGTCGTCAATTAGGAGACACGAAAGCAAAAGGCTGTGAAAAACCGGGGCAGAGGAAGCGCTTTAAAGCAATCGAAGCCAGTCGAGTGCTAAATGGGCGTGTCCCCCTGCCACGCCCACCGCCCACCGCCCATCAGCCACTCCCCCACGCTCTTGCACTTAAGCTGTGTAATTGCTGTGTGTGAGAGCAGAATACCGCAAAAAGTCGAAGTCGGCCCTCTGTCGTCAAAGTGAGCGATACGACGCGTCGCCATTTGGCTTAAACAAAAAAGCAAGAAGTGCGCCTGTGGTATTTCAAACAAATAGATCGATATGCGACAATTAAATTCCCTGAGGAGTGAATTCATTGAGTGTTTACAAAATAAGGGATTAAGTTTCATTTAACAGCTGTTTATTTATGTGAAGTATTTTAATTTAGTTTAATGAACCAAACAAAAAAGTCCCTTTATTTGGCTAAAATAGCAGTTTAAAGCCTTTAAATAAATTAAACGAAAAAGTGACAAATAATTTAATTAAAATAAACGTTCGTCGAGCCAAAAAATATTGTAGCTGGAAAAGGCAAAATTAGGAATTTCCTTAATATTGTCATTATATCATGGTCATTATATTATTATATACCATAAAAAAATTATAGAAAATAAATTTCGATTTCTTTGTAAATTAATTTTATATGTTTGCCGTTTAAAATAAGACCATAAGAACATTAGGAGTACCGATGAGGCTGAAACACTTACCCAATCAGAACGCGGTCATCAATCCATCATACGCCCTTACCCTCGTCAGAAATCGGCTGTTATCGGAAGTTCCTGGCCAAGATCTCAGCGGAGTCCATGTGACCAGTCGGAGTTAAAGGGTAACCACAACAAAACGTGCAACCATTGATAAAATGTGCGACGGCTGCTGATGTAGGTCGGATCCGGACGGGGGGCACTGGGATGGAGATGGAATTGAAGATGGGAGATGGTATGGGGAATGCAGGAGCTGGAATTTATGATTCCATTTTTACTTCTCTGCTCGTTCTCGCAAACAGCCTCCGGCCATGTGAAGATTTTCTTTGGGGAATGCGAGCGGGGAGAGCTGTGTGAGGGATGCAAATGGTTGTGGCTTGTGAATTTCTCTCGCAACAATTTGAAATGCCTCACCGTGCACGGAACCCCTGGCCGGCGTCATTGGCCTAACCCCCTGGTATCCCACTGCCAACGCCCATGCTAAAAGTCCCTACATGGATCAAAATCAGGTGGTCGCCTTTCAGTATATAAGAATAATTATGTTTCAGTATGTTTTTATGAATAATTAATAATACAGAATTTATTGTTAGGCTTTGCTAAAGTAAAGTAAGTAAGTAAAAATTAAAACATAACAAGGACTAAAGCCTTGATTTTAAATACATAATACTTTGAAAAAGTAAATCAATGTGAATTGAATAATTTTTTAACAAAAATAAATTAAAAAGAAAATTATGAAATAAAAAGGTGTAAACTAAAAAAAAAATCCAAAAATATAAAAATAGTGACTTTTAAAGTATGTTTAATATTTTGCCCAAAAAATAATATTAAAAAATTTCTACACCTTTTTGTATCTCTATAACTAACTGTACCTATTTATTCGCTGTGTACCTTTTCCCTGAGTGTTTGTGACAAATATTCGAACAGTTCGATTATGCATGTTTTGAGCTTGGGGCGGCAAGAGGGGACTCGGGGTAGGAAGTTGCTAATATTTGCTGAATGCTGCGAACCAATAAATGACAAGTTATGCCCTCTAATTAATGCGCTTCAGCATGCGACAAGCGTGTGCGGCTTCTGGCCGAATGATTTCGCCTGGTCTAATGGGCGTCTCTTCAGGGTCTTGACCAGGCCCGCCAACCCCTCTGCTTTCGGCTTAATTTCGGCACATAAATACCAATGGTCCACACCCCGGCGGAGGAGGAGGCGCCATCGCCAAGGAGGGAGGGGCTCATGTGGAGCCAGTTTTTGTGGCCACATCATGGCCGGTCCGGCGTTCCATTTTTCAACTGTCAGACTACCGCAAAGCCAGTGACACTTTACTCCCCCGCTTGAAGACGATGCAAAAGGGGTTATCTGGTGGCGCCTCGGGCGTGAATACATACATGGAAATTAAAATGACATTAGGTCAGGCGAGCGTAAAAAGCCAGAGGTTCCATTATTTTTTTGAGATTTAATTTTATGAAAGAAATCGTGACATTTTATCTTTAACGCACACTGGCTTCGGGGCACGAAGAGAAACCTTTAAATTTTATAATAAATCAAAGGCGATTAACATCTGTACAAGTTATACACGACGTCAGTTTAGTGACACCTAACTAAATTCAAACAAAATTATACTTATAAAAAGTGTCGTGTCGAGATTAGTAATCAAAATTCTTATTGCACTTTACAAAAATTTATGCACAAAAACGGAAAATAATTTCTAAGAAGACATTCGATTTTGTGAGATAATACAAATAAACTTTTAGTAACCCAATTAAATGTAAAATAATAATTTAAATCAAGAAGGGGATAAACGTACGTACGCTTCATTTTTCATGATGGAATTTTAAAATTTAATTTGAATTCTTGCGGAAAGCACTTAAAGACCCCCAACGCTTCAAAAACGCATTTGCACACTCCCACAATTTAATGAATACAAATCCCACGTAAAATACCTCCAGTCGACAGATGCACCCATTCACTTCAAGTGGCACCCACCATATAAACCATATCAAATCTAACCTCGAAAGGCTTTCGCCATGTGAGCCCCATATTTGCTTTAGGATCGCCATTTTTCCAGTTGGCTGAGTTTTGTTTATCAGAGAGCACATAAATAACGAAAAAGTTGCCAAAAACAAGGAGTAAAGTGAAATTTATGTGTACCGCATGTAATTAATAATAAAAGAAATCGCGCAAACGAATTAAATGGTTCTGTGTGTGTTTAACTTGCTTGTTAGCCTGTCCAGAACGGCGCTTAATTAGACCAACCTCCCCGTGCACACATACCCCAAACCCTCTACCCGCCCATTTTCCCGAACTTTATGTTTGAGCCAACTTAATGGCGTCCGAGCAGCAGTGCACCAGCTAATCGGGTTAACCAATCCCAGAAGCAATGTTAACCAGTTGTAATTTGGTGTTACCTGGGCGAAGTGAGGGGGACTGGACAGGTTGGCAGGAGGTCAGGTGATGGCACAAAGCAAAGATCGTAAATGGTATTAACAGAGCTCGGTCGGTGGGTCGAATCTCGCTCAGTCCTTGTAAGGGTATACTTTATACTCTTAAGTTAGCCAATCATTTCCTGAAATTTGGTTAGCCTAAATAGTGTAATACTATAGTACACTGCACACTGGGATGAGTCGCCTTTTTTTATGCATACACTTTAATTTTAAAAATACTGTTTTCAAATTTGTATACCCATTATTCGTATAGTAACTTCTAGGCAACATTATACATACCTTGACGAATAATTTTGTTACTTAATTTAACCGAAAGTAATGCGCGATATTTGCTATAGAATAGTCAGTTAAACTTTTGATATGCTTTCCAGAAAAATTAAGGCACACACAACGTAGCTCGAACTTCAGTCTTTAGAGGGCTGCCAAAGAGTCAGGAAAGGTTACAAAAATACTTTTAAAACAGTTGACTTCTTTAACGGCTTTTAAAAAAAATCTGAAAATTTGACAACAAAATTTTGATCTTTAAAGCTATTCATCCCATTGTGCAATGTCTCAAATGTTTTTGTGCTCTCTAATTATTTTAGGTTTTTTAAGCTTCGTTATTAGTTAAACTTTAAAAATTTAAACACTCTAAAAGAAAGACAAAGATTAATTAAACAATAAAACATGATACATATATCATAGTATTATTATATAAATATTATTGAAAATTTAAATGATTAATAAACATGCACAACAAATTTGATATTTATAGTTCAAATTTGAAAAGAGCTCTACATTTAGCTGATTGTTGGCTGAATTTAAAACAAAGTTTGGCGAAATCGTGTTAAGCGTCTGTCTTAATCCCTGAAATGTTAAGCTCCGCAACATTTGGTTTTAATTCCTGCAGTGTCGCAATGGTTGTTCAGTTTCCAAACGATATAATCCATGCATCATCTCATGGCGGCAGTCCGATTAGACACGAGCCCCTCTGACTGGGTTTGGCCTTTTTCAACTTTGCACTCGAATGAATACGAAATTCACGCGAAATTCCCTGACAGAACCCACGACAAAGATAAAGTTTCCACCAGTAGCCCCACGCCGAAGGTCCCCCACTTGAATTATTATGTTATGGCTGCTGCTCTGGGTTGGGGGCGTTCTGTATTCCGTGTTCTGTGTCCCGAGCCCGAACCCGAAAAGTTTGCACCAATCATTGCTCAACCATTTGAGTAGAAATTTTAAATTTATTGCTCTAACAATGCGACAGCAAACAATAACATTAACAAAGTAATAATTCAAGTCCCTTTAAATGATTTCAATTATTTGCCCAAAATGTGTGACGAGCGCCGGAAAGGATGGGCCGGCAATGCCATGGCAAAAACCCAAAAACCGAAATCAGTTTATGTGGTTTACTGAACAGTTACACTAATTACCGCACAACAAAACTGTTGTAGCTCTCATTTATCGGTGTTGTTCTTGCACTTGTTGTACTTTCAGTTGTTGTCGGATTCTGTTTTTATAAACTTTTGCGGGCAAATAGTTTTTAATTACGTAGATATGCTGGCAGCAAGAAAAACAATTGAAAATCTAACGAGGGAATAAAGTTTAAAGCTGTTGGATTCCCATTACTAAGTCAGTTGTGGAACTCCTGATACCGAGTGAGGTATTACTTCGGATTTTGTAAATCATAAGTCTTAACCATGTCGTTAGATGTATGTTACAATTCCAAACAAAAACCTATTAACAAATATCTTTGGGACTTAAAATGGCCATCCTTTTGTAATAAAATACAAATAGAATAAATTATTTCTTGACATAATAAGTATTATTTTTGACTTAATATAAAAAGTAAATATTTGGTCCCATATATCCATCATTTTGTTAACGCAACTTTTTGGAAATTCAGGTTTAAATCAGTTGCAGTGCTGTGACGCTCTTGCTTTCAGACCATTTAAATCTGCTGTTAATAGGTGAACAATTGGAGTCAAGAAGTGTAGTTAAGTGCAATTAGCTCAGTCAGAACATAGTGCCAAAATGTATTGCGGTCAGCATTTGGCAAGCCATCTAATGTGGTTTACTTTCTGCGTGTGAGTCTCACATGTGTTTTACTAAATTTGTAACTTCGTAGAATCTGGGATGTGAAGAATCTGGGTGGAATTTTTAAATTTTTATATAATAAGTACCAAAGGTTAAGTTTACCGAATATTAGTTACTAGTATTGTAAGCCTTACTCTAACTTCCCATAATCGAGTTGAAACTTACGTCGAATCTTATTTATGCAGTGGTCCATGGTTGGAAACTTTGCAGAAAAATTAAGTTTTTTAAAGCCGACAACATCGGCTACTTAGGCGAAGCAACTGCCTGCAGCTGTGCAACTCGAGAGTGGAAAGTGGAAAACTATTTCTGCGAATTGTTCCGGAGCGGAGCATTTAATAAAAATGTAAACTTGAGCGGAAACTCCACTGTAGTCCTCCGCCTCACAGACTAGCTCACTTTATGTTCGCTCTGTGTGAGCATTTGGCATAATATTATTTACATAATAAATACTTAGTTGTTATTTGTTGTGCTGCGCGTAAATTTGCCGCCCGAGGCGAGACAGCGGAACGGGAAGGCGACGCCCGAAACTAGGCAATCCAGCGATGTTGGCTGGGCGGGGGTGTTCTGAATGGGGGTGGTGCTGTGGGGCACTGAATGTATAATGTGGGCGGCATGACTCGGTAATTCCAGGCCCATCTGCGGGATTTTATGCTCTAATAAAATTGCAATGTGGCCGCGAGCTTAAAGCTTGATTGGATCAAAATAAGGACTGAAACAGTGACCAGTACGCCAGCTAAAGGCCAAGTACAGTAAATACTAGAACTCACTCAAGACCAACGGAAATAACATTACCAAAAGGAAATATAGCTGCTGTTTATCGCTTGAACTATTACCAAATGCATTATATTTTGTGGATATATTTAAGCAAGATATCGCAAAAAGTGTTTTTAATTTTTTAATCGCTTAGGTAAAATTTTGACTAACATCTTCATTCGATTGCTGTAAAAAATAAGGGTCGACCTAAACTACCATTGTTTTTTATACTGCTCGAGGGATACTTCTCCAGGGCCCAGAACGACAACCATGAGTAGACCTCCAACCACCGATAAGGTGTGGAAGCAATTGTACTTGAGCAAATCCCTTGAATCTCCATCGGCGACCCACCAGGCGTTTGTGGTCACATTCCAAGCGGTCAGAACTAGCGAAAGACACAAGGCAGCCAGTCGGGTTCGATAGCCCATAACGATGAACGTCATCAGGATCAGGCCAAAACAGTTCAGGACCATGGCGGCAATGGTGAAGTACTGCTGGAATAGGGTCAGATACATAAGGGCCAGCAGGATCCTTCCGGTGAGCTGCATCAGGTGCTGGGATCGGCGGCTCACAACAAAAGGTAGTCCAGCTCCGGCTCCGTAGATCCGACTGGCCACCTCCTCCTTGTTTTCCACATGCAGAAGCAGTAAGCCCCCAAGTAGCGAGAAATTCCGGAGCAGCAGCTTCAGTTGAAGGGGTACTTCATATATGTGAACCTTGGGCAAAGTAAAAGTAGCTTTAATAGAAAATGTCTCTTGAAGAAATGGTTTGAAATGGATTATGTGCAAACTTCTGTAATTTTTCTGAATCTTAAATGTGAAATAGGCAAAGTTTATTAAAGCTTAAAAAATTCTACATTTTTGGGGAAGCGAAGGACCTTTACCTGGAGCAACACTAGGCCGGTCAGCAGGGTGACCGCAAAATTAGTAAACAGATGCAGGATGACCAAAGCAGAACCCACCAGCTGGCCCACTAAATTCAGCAGGATTATCGCCACTGCTATTGCTGCGGAGCACTGGTGGCGGTCTTGGAGGAAAGCCAGTTGCTCTACCCACTGGAACCACATGCGCAGTCCGTCCTCGAAGAAGGTGGCAACCAGGCAGATGCGGGCCACCGAGGGCAAAACGGGACGGCAACGCCGGGTGACCTCCTCCCCCAGATCCTCCGCCCTACGCATCCAGCGGGTCTCCGTCTGGGTCACCAGCATGTCCTGAGATTCCTGCTCCAAGCCGCAAACTCCACTTACAAGCAAAGTGATTTCTCTCGGCGTCCCAGGCTGACAGTCGTGGCAGTGATAACAAACGGCCAATGCCAGGCTGAGTAATCGTTACGGTCTGTCTGTAGTCTGTGGCACATCTTGAAAAGATTGCTCTGTTACGGGGCGTCCTCTTCCGGGCACAGCTGCCGTCTTGGGAATTTCATATTATGTATACTTCCCTTTTTAACATACATAAATATTTTGTCATTTTTATAAAAATTATTATTGACATTATTTCTAAGACTTTTTTAAAGTGAAAAATAAATTGTTTTATCTTAATAAAAAATTTAATATGAAATAACAACAACTTCTGATTGCCCATGCAAGAAACTCAGGATTGCACAATATTGTCTAGGGTTCCATGAAAATCAGCTTATAAAAGTAGAGCTGTTGTTAATTTAGTCTATGAAATTATAAATACCTATAGGTAAACATTTTGAAACACGCGCGGATCCACGGGGGGATATGGGATATATATCACCCTCCACTTAGGTGAAAAATGAAAGGAATTAAAAAAGTATGCAACAAAAAAATTGTTCTGATATCACCCCCACAACAAAATCCTTGATCCGCCACTGTTTAAAAATAAGTATTAGATGTTTATCTCACATGTACGAATCGAAAATATCGAGTCAAGTTAATCTAATAATTCATTTTGTTCATCATCTATCCATATATTCTTCAAATACCATCAACAAATTATTTTATAAATTGAATTCAGTTTTTTGTAAGTTTCCCTTTCATAATTACCGCTTGAGCACCATTCCCCAGTGCACAAAGAACTGCAGCTGGTGTGACAAAATATAAATTCACACAAAATTACCCCACATCAATTGGGAGATTATGCGCACGGAAAAAACAATACAACGTCCAAAAACCCCTTAAACACTTGACCTGAAACGCAATCGAACCAAATGCCCTAAGCAAATAAATTTGCATTTTCCATGATGAATTGCAATATGCTGCTGCAAATGCATATATTTTCTAAAATATTTTGCAATTTGTCAATTATAACGCAAAAAGCTTTAACTAATGCTCTTAATTTTATGGTAGGAGATAAACAAACAGTTTTTTCGATAGCTTATATGAAAACAAGAAAGGAAGCTACCTTCGGCCAGCCGAAGCTTATATACCCTTGTAGATAAAAGAATACTCACTCGGTGCAGTTCCAGGGATTCCAGATTCAGCGTTTCGATTTATTTCAATTTTGTTTTTAAGTAGTCAAGAATCAAAACGCCTACTTCCTACAAAGTTACAATGAATTTTCTTATATTTGTTTGGGAGCCTTAAGATATAGTGGTCCGATCCGGCTGGCTCCGACATATGTACTACCTGCAATAGAAAGAAGACCTTCGGGAAAGTTTCATCGCGATAGCTTTAAAACTGAGAGACTAGTTCGCATAGAAACGGACAGACGGACAGACGGACAGACGGACATGGCTAGATAGACTCGGCTATTGGTGCTGATCAAGAATATATATACTTTATGTGGTCGGAAACGTCTCCTTCACTGCGTTGCAAACATCTGACTGAAATTATAATACCCTCTACAAGGGTATAAATATGATACCCTATGACAATTTTTGGCATGCTCTGTTTCAGATTAGGATTTTTTCATTATTTAACTTTTGGTTTTTCGTAGATAAATAATTTTAAAAAGTGTTTTCACTTGTTTTCTGAATAGCACAAAATAGCACATTATCTTAAAGTAAAATAACTAAAATTTTTATAACTTATTCTAATTGTAATAGATTTGAAATAAATTTTTTATTTTTAAATGTATAATATAAAACCAAATAACTTCAGTAGGCAAGTAATTCTTTTAAATGCGTAGCAAATAGGGTATTTCATTCGCCGCATTTTGTCAAAAACTTTCCCCAACCATCAACTGACAGCTGCGCCTCGTTTGTTTGTCAGTTTGGCCGAAGCCTGAAATAATTATTTGTGCAGTAAAACTTCGATAAGGTCCGCCAACTGATGTGCTGCTCATCATTCTTGACCTATTTTGCAGCGCTGGCAGCCACGGCCACCCCGATGGAGAACGCATCCCTAATTGCTTCGCCGGCGACGGGGACAAACACAATGGCAGTGGACGCGGGACCGGGCTCGACGGGATCTCCTGTCCTGATGCTAGGCGATGGCCAGCACGAGGAGGAGGACACCACGGTGGTGGATTCTTGGAGCGACAGGCCCGACACTGCTACGCTGACAAAGGGCTTCTCGATTCCCACGTATTTGCCGCCCTTTCCGGACTTCATCCCCGCCGATTTGCCGCACCTGCAGCGGAATGGCTCCTCTCGAGCTGCGCCTCCTGCAGACAACAGGCCATCCGGCAGTGCGATGCCACCTAACGAGCAATCCCGTCTGCACGCATACGACAGCGAACAAAAGGCCCAGCAGCTGCGGCGCGAAAAGGAGCTGGCCAAGGAGCGGGAGCTCCTGCCACGTCGTCAGCTCAGCCTGCCCCCGCTGAATGCCACCGTCCAAGCTGGCCAGCACGCCTATCTGCCCTGCAAGGTGAGTAACTAAGGGGTCTGATGGGTTGATAGGATGATAGGCCAAATGGGGACAATGGGGAGCCATCCAGTTGAGTGGCGTAATTGAAAGCGGCGAGTGAGCAGGCCACATTGAGAAGCAGTCCTTCGTATTCCGAGAACATTGCTACAAAATAGAAATATTTGTTTTGTCTAATCTAAAGATGCATCACGGGTATATTTAAAAAAATATTTTTTATGTAGATTTTGTTTTTTTACCATTTTTATTTAATGGTTCAAAATTAAAGTTCTTAGGTTTCAATGCCAACGTGGTATGACATTCTATATTTCTCGTTGTACTGCACAAAATACTGATTTTATTGGTTTGCAAATAAGGACAAAAACTAGATCTAATCTAAATAAATCAACAATTTATTTTATAATTATTTTAATATTATAATGTGTGGGACTAGTTCACCCAGAAAAATTACCGTTCAAAAAATACATGATATTAAAAATGTACCTTACTTTTTATTTTAAGATAGAGCACTAAAGGCTACCCATACTTTTTCCTCCTGTAGCTCAACCAGCACTCCGGTAAACCACTCTCCTGGGTTCGTTTACGGGATGAACATATCATTGCGGTGGATCACACAACCTTCATCAACGATGCCCGGTTCGCCTCGCTGCTCCAGTCGTCCACCTCGACGACAATTGTATCAGGGGCAGCGCTTTCATCCTCGGTGACGCCCTCGGTTGCCCCGGGAAACGGGTCTGCCAATGGGGGAGCGGGTGGTCAGGAGAGGGGCAACAACGGCAGCAGCCTCAGCTGGACGCTGCAAATCAAATATGTGAAGCTGGAGGACGCCGGCTGGTACGAATGCCAGCTGGCAACGGAGCCCAAAATGAGCGCCAAGGTGCAGCTGTTTGTGATAAGTAAGTGAAACGACTGCTAGCAGACAAATTGGCCCACACCGAAAGAAAGTGTTATGGGTGAATTATATTCAATTTATTATTTTTCCAACAATACTTCGTATTGTGTTAATATAATAATATAGTTTACAAAAGCTAGGGCGAAGAGTCATAAATGGCTAAATTCTCATCCCATAACAGTATTGAATTATTTTGATTCTTTTAAATATTATTGATCAATAATTTAAATGTTAATTATGATAATGCTTATTGTGGTCCATTTAGTACAGTTACAAAGCACTTTAATCAAGTGTCAAGTTCTTTTTCCATGAAATAGAGCTTCTTAAAGAGTCCAAATATGCGGTGTGTCAAGCAGAGATTCCTGAAACACCACCAAACAACGTTTTAAAGGGACATGATTTCACAACCGTTGAGTACTAACCCTTTATCCACACCAACAGCACCCCGAACCGAGCTTATCGGTGATCGGCAGCGCTTTGTGAAGGCCGGCAGCAAGGTGGAGCTGCACTGCATCGTACGTGGCACCCTGGAGGCCCCCAAATATATATTCTGGTACCGTGGCGACCAACAAGTAACTGCCGACAACGAGGCCAGCGGTGCCCAGAGTGGATGGTACACGCAAATCGACAGGAATATCTTCGGCAGCACCGAGCATAATCGGAACACGGTGAGCGGATTTGGGCAACACTAGAATTCTTAAGAGGATTTCTCACGAATATCGATTTTACAGATTGGTTCACTGGTCATCCCGCTAGTGCGCAAGATTCACTCCGGCAACTACACATGCGAGCCGGAAAACAGTGCGGCAGTATCCATGCAATTGCACGTCCTGAGCGGTAGGTGACGCAAATCTGTTACATCTTATATTTTCCCTTGGGTTTATAAAGAATCTGGGAAAAATTATTCTTCTAATAAAATATGAATAGTATTATTTGGAACAACCAAACAACATTTAAAACTTTGTTAGATTGAGAAAATATTAATTATTTCAACATATAGTTATTGACGAATTTTTTATTTCAGGGGAATACTCCGCCTCTGCCATAAAGTCTACAGCTGCCGGCCTCCATAGACTGGGTCACGGATACAGCAGTCTCCACCAGTGGCTGATTTTTCTTCTGGTGGCCCTGAACAAAACATGAGTGGTTCTGAAGGCAATCCTACCATGGAGAGCGCTGGAATTATTAACCGATCGGTGTGGTTCGTCTAAGACATTAGTTTAATTTCTAGGTAAATTGCACTTACACTCAAACGATGATATGGTTTATTCTGCTGACACTTCTTAAAGTCTAAGCTCAACTTTCCGAATATAAACCACATTTTTATACAAGTTCTAGACTAACAATGTTTTCCTTTACTCTAGTATTTAGGTCTAGTTCACTAAGAATTACACTAAGCATCTAATTCCGAGTAACGAACATTTATTTGTTATTTGAGTAAATAAAGCCTGAGGCGTCTTATGTAAGATATGACTAAACTGATTGTTTATATATGTGAGTGTATTTTAAAATAATTATGGTGAGTTTTTATTGTTAAATTGCTTTTCTATAATCCCAATGTTCTATTATACGGACAGACTGACAAACGGACAGTGATCATGATCAAGAATTAACATACTTAACAAAGTTCTTTTTACCTGTTACATTATTTTTTACGTTTTTTCTTTAAATTCTCTAATACTATTGAATTCGTATTTTGTTTAAAGATAAGATTGAATCCGTACTGCTATTTAAGTGGTTCACCTTTCCATCATCATTAACAACACCATTATCATTTATTGCCCGGCGTTGCACTTTGATTTACATTTTATATGGCCCTGCTAATGTCCAGATACGGAATTATAAGTAGCGCCTTTAAGTTCCTTCCTAATGCTCTTACCCCTTCCGTAGTCCAAGCTTAGCATCTTAACCCCAATCCTCACTTATTTAAATGGGATTCACCCCTCACAAAGCTACCCCTCTCTTAATTTCTTGCCGGAAAATTATCTGTATATTTTAAAATGCAAATACAAGAACCTGTCATAACTCATGAAAAGGTGGGGGAGGAGAAAAGCAGCCACTAAGCCGGCTCGCAAATAAAAAACCAAAGAAAAAAGAGGAATCGAGAAAAACTACCATTGTCTTGGCCATTGTTTCGCCGTGGCCATTGTTTTATGGCCTGGCCAACTATAATTTTGTGCGATTTTTCTGATTGCCCGCGCACTTTACGCTGCTCATTTATCAAACCGCCACTGACCAGAGAAGAGCGCCTTAGCAACCGTGGCCAAGATGTGGCGAAAGTTTTATGGCCAAGTTTGAGTTTCCCCCGCCGAAAGTTGGCCCACATTTCCATCTTCGCACACCTTCGGCTTGGTCTCGAGATCCTTGCCCTGCTCCATCGGCCACTCAACAGACAATTTACAACTGGACAGATGGCGTGAGAAAGGAGGGACCTGAGGGGCTGGGAAAAGGAAGGGCTGCGGAGACTGGGCTAATCACTTTTTGATTTATACGCCATAGCCGCCGCATCCGGAAACTTTTGCCCACAGTTCATATTTTTCTTTTCGCTCTGCGGCTGTCCCGCAGTTTTCCTGCAGTTTTCCCTGTTGCTTTTGCGGTGTGGCGACCGCCAGCTGGAGGATATTGACAGCAGCAGATCGGGAATCTGGGGGGATTAGCTTTCGCGAATATTGAAAAATTCCGCGGCCGGCAATCCGAATGCCTCGCAGGCAACTGTCAACAATTTCTTAAAGTTCATTCCGCTCAGCCAACTGATTATGGCCCAATCCCCCGGCAGTTGTAGCTTTATCAAAGAGATTGGCGCATTTTAATAATTCACATGGCAAACTGTTGAAAAATAAATTTCGACCGCGCACGCGACGCCGAAAGACATTTCCCTCGGAGGCGCTTTAAGAACACCCACGCCTTTATATCGGCAGTTCACCTTGCCGGCAGCCTAAGGCTCCTGATTTTGGTCCAGGCTTCGGTGATTCCTGTTTGCAGCAAGTGGTTAAAGTTTGCCGTTTGACTTTTAAATTATATTGTGGGCGGCCGCAGTTGGGGGAGGCACGAAAACTTGGCCTGCAACCCGCCGGCCTCGACAACCCTAAGGAAAATGCGCAAAATGCGGGTGTGGTCTTAGGCCCAAAAACTTGGTCCATCACTGGAAAAACTGCTTCTAACCAATGATGACGCAGACTAAACACCAAAAAATGTTATGGGTAAAATTTACCTTCTACTACTTACTATTAACAAGAAAGGAAGTTAACTTCGGCCAGCCGAAGTTTATATAACCCTGCAGGTACTTAAAATGTTGTTTTTTTTTTAAATGTCAAAGATCAAAACGAATGCTTCCTAGAAAGTTACAATGTTGATTACTCCAATGGGAGCCATAAGATTTAGTGGCCTGATCCGTCTCGTTGCGACATATGTACCACCTGCAATAGAAAGAAGACTTTTGGGAAAGTTTCATCGGGATAGCGTCAAAATTGAGAGACTGACAGACGGACATGGCTAGATGGACTCTTCTATTGGTGCTGATCAAGAATATATATTCTTTATGCGGACGGAAACGTCTCCTTCAATGCGTTGCAAACTTTTTACTGAAATTATAATACCCTCTGCAAGGATATAAAAATAATTACGTGTAGTTTGTTTTTGCTTTGGGTGGTGTAATCGCTATTTGTGTTCATTCTGTTTTTGTGAGGGTAACTTTTTAATTGGTAAAATTCTGTGCATTGGGACAGTTTTACTATTATATTGGTTAGATTTACCAATCGATCTTTTTGTGTGTAGCAATTTATCGGCGAGGACTCAAAAATCGGTAATGTCCGAGTTCAAACGAAGTTCTTACGTAAACCCATTTAAATTGGGAGCTATGCAAATTATATTACATTTTAAGAACCGCTAAATTATTTTTAATATCAACTAAATTATATTTCAAGGTTAAATAAATCCCAAAAAAGCTTATTATGGAATTATTTTAATATTGGCTAGAGTTTTGTCATGCATTAAAACTTCAAGAGCAGATTAAAAGGTATTGATTTCAAACCTAACAAATCGATATCAAATATGTGCACACAAATCAAGGAAGTTCTATATCCGTTAGCCCCAAACGAAAAAAAACGAGGTTTAAATTAATTAATTTTTTTTTTTTAAGAAGTTTTATTTTGTTAATTAATATATTATATTTTTTATTCATAATATTTTACTTTTTTTTTCTTTTTTTCTTTTTTTACTTTTTTTCAATCTTAAAAGAAATTTGGATTTCAAAGCAAATTTGTGTTATTTTCATTACTTAACTGGAGCTATCGATTAAAAAAGAATAGTTTTGATTAATTTGATCGTATTTTTTCAAATATTTAGGAAAAACAATGTTCGGATTAATACTTTTATTTTAAAACGCCGTACGCAAAAAAAAGTTACATAAATATTTTACATTTTTCAAATCCCTTTTTTTATTCAAATCGTTCACATATTTTGGGCTGCTTTTTTGTAAGTGCAGAGTCAGCGCAGTTTTAAGGAGTTGCGGATCATGTGGCAGACTTGACAATTGTTGGGTTATTCTTGTCAAAGCAACAATGGAGGTAGTGTAACAATTTCTCCCGGGGTGCTGACTAAATTGGCATATAATTGGCCCAAATATTTAAGCAATCAAAGCAAAAGTTTTGCTCGAGGCTGGCCCAAACCTACTCGATTTGTTTCAGTGTGAGCATAAATTACCAAAGGCATTCTTCAACTTTTTCCGCAATTATTTGTACTTCGCAAACTTTGATTTAAATTTTTAAGCCGCCCGCCCTGGCAATGGCAGCGGCCAATAACTTGTCAGACGCTTGACTTGCCTTTTGCCAGCCTCATGAAAGATGTATTTAGGTAGGTCAATTCCCGAACCTGTTGATTCCCGGGAACAGTTTCTGAGCAAGGTACTCGTGCGCAAGACTGTTCCCTGTCATTTCAAATTTCCCTGGGCGCGAAATTTAAAGCTGTTTCCAACGGAAATCTGGTTTGTTGCAAGCTTTTAAAAATTATATTTATAAATACAACCTTGTGCTCGCCAAAAAAAGATGAGAATGAGGAAACTTTTTTTACCCAAATATGAGATACAACCATTAGGAAGCAATTCGTCAAAGAAATATAATTTTCATTTAGGATTTTCATATAATTAACTTTTTATTTTTCATAAATATGCACAATTGCGTTGCTGAATTTGTTTGCATTTTGATATAATATATATAATTTTAATATGTAAACCTATACGCGCTTAAACTGAAACTAAACGACAATTTTCGCATCTCTTTTTACAGAAGTTATTCGTACATCGATTGCATATTTTATTTTTCAATATTTATTTAAAAAATATTTTCGCTTATTAAAAATAAATCGCGTCTTATAAATTAGAATTTAGGCTCGATTTTAAATACTTGGAATGCACAAAAATAATTTGTCACCTATGTGGTCGGTTTTTCGAATAAATTGTATGCTATGTATAATAAGGAGTTTCTATACATGACATCCAGTAAATGGCTGTGCATGTTTGTTATACCCTTGCAGACGGTATTATAATTTATATTGGAAGTCTACAAGCAGGACTTGTACAAGGATTACACGGTTTCAGTAATTAAATTTCGCAGAATCGGACCATTTTAATAGTTCCGACACGGTGTTAACTGCAAGGATATATTAACTTCGGCTTGCCGAACTTTCCTTTCATTTTTGTTTTTATTTTAAAGCCGTTAGTTTTTCGTGTATTGAAATCCTATTTGATTTAAATTGGTACTTTCTGAATACATATTCGAATAACAAATTTTATATGCTCTTGGTTTCGCCTTTGTTGCATTCAAAATGTGTTTAAAAAGGTTGCATTAATTAAAAATATATATGTGAAGCTATAAATATTTCATTACTCGTTCGTTCGTGGTTTGTAAATATATCTTTAATAATTGAATAATTGGACCATTTGTTTTAACGTTGTTGTGGCTTAGAGTTCTCTAATGGATATAGTATATTTATAAACGTTTCTTGTTCCGCACGGTTCCCAGGTAAATATATGTCTGTATATCTAAACTACTCTTCTCATTTACACTGTTGTTTAACCATAAATTGTATGTTGTAATCTGATGTAACAAATTGTTAAACGTAGGGTTAAGTTAAATTTTAAATCTTTAAAACGCTTTACAAATGTGGCTCGCCTTGCTTTCGTTGCCCTGTCCTAGGCTCGTTATAGTTTTGTATATATGAACAAAAGTATATATAGACTATAATGATATACACTGACAATTCTCACTAATTGAATTCAGTTACCACTTTGTGTAATTAACTCTGAAACGCGATAACTATGGATTGTTATTGCCTTGCTTAGCAAATTCGTTAGGTTTGTTTGTTTCTATCGCAATCTGGTAAATGTAACGTGATCTATAGAGCTAACGTAACAACTTGGCCCCAATATATTGAAGTGTAAGCTTTGTGGGTTCGGGTGTGTATGTACATAGCGTTAAGCAAAGATCTCTCCTTCCTAGTGCACCGCATCTATATCTCGCTGGGCTCGCGATATCTTCAGCTTGTCCTTGGGCGTGTTATCCTCCCCCGACTCCAGGGCAAACATTTTCATCTTCTCCTTGAATGACAGCTTTTCGGGCACCGCATCTCCAGCGCGTTGTTGCTGTTGCTGCTGCTGCTTCTCCGCCAAACGACGTGTGCGAGGATCTCTGTGTACACGGATTAAATAAGTAAGACATTTGCAATATGCCAGGTGTCTGGGTCATCATACCTGTAGACCTCTTGCGCTCCAATAACGCCTGGAGTGGATTGCACTGAGGTATTCCAGAGGGCAGCATCGGGAGTGGCTGGCATCGATGGCAGCATGGAGGCATCCAGATTGTGTTGCAGATACTAAAGAATTAACAAGACAGAATTAATTACTACTAATCTTACTAGCCAATTTTAAGGCGTTGAAAGATATATATATTTGGTTAATAGAATTTAACTTCTCTCACGGCCAGTTAAAAAATAAAGGAAACTTACACTCGTATCCTCTCTGATGGTGTCCAAATCCTGATGCTCCACACCGTAGTTGTCCATGATATACTGCTGTTGAAGCTGTTGCTGCTGGCTATTTCCGCCTACAAAGTTATTCTCCTCATCATGGAAGCTCACCCGCTTGTTATCCCTCTGCATCAATGGCGGCGGGGGAGGCGGTGTGCCCAATCCTCCAACCATTCCACTGCCCGTGGCCGAAACGTAGGCTGCATTTAGTTCCATGGCGCTGAGCGGAGATCCTTGCATCGTGTTGTTGTTTAAGCTGCCACTTAGATTGTTGTTATTATTGGTCGTGGTGTTCAGCAGAGAAGCCTTTTTAATCTCCACGGCAGCTGCTGCCTGATTACTAGTCGCCGTTTTGAGTAGGCCCATGGAAGAGGTGGTGTTTCCGGTGCTGCCCCGCAGTTTTTGCTGTGACATGATCAGGTAAGAACTGTTCCTCTCCGGTGGTGGAGGTGGCGGCACCACGGCATCCAAGGTCTCGTTGTTATTATCCTTATCGAGCATCGTGAGCTGATTGAGCTCCTTTGCCAAGTTCGATATGGGATGCTCCGTGTGCAGATGCCGCTCATCCGCGAAACTGGCGGATTTCTGTGATTTCGAGGGCGACGAGGGTGCTCCACTGGGACCCACTCCTCCCTCGGAGTACCGATTGTGCTTGAGTATGCTCTTCGGCTGCTGCGTATTGCTGCTCAGGGTTTGGGGGGCAGTCGGCGCTGGTGGCTGTGGTGCTGGCACCGAGTCCACCGGACTGCTGCTGTCCGTAATCTCCGCCAGCTTGATCTCCGTCTGTCGGTAGCTCGTGATGGGTGTTTGTATGGCACTGACCTGACTGCCGCCTGCCAGTCGGAACAGCTCCTGCACGTTCTCCTTGTCGTACTGCTGCTCCTGGTCCTGTTCCTCTTGCTCCTGCAGCTCCTGCGCTCTTCGCTCGAAGTCCCGCTCCAGAATCAAGGTCTTCAGTTGCTCCTCTTGCATGGGCGATCGGGAGATGATCTGGGAGAGCTCCGAGATCTGTTGCTCCCGCCATTGGCGAATGTGTTCGCGTCGCATTTCCAAGTCCTTTTCACGCTCCTCCCTTTCCCAGGGATTGCTTCCGCTGTGAAGAGTGCGGTTGCTCGCCTGGTTTGACGCCACATAGCTGCCCTTTGGTGGATCCAAAGTGCTGGCTACGTAATTCATCCCCGGAGCGATCTGCTGCGTGGCCTTGAATAACGGATGTGTAGCGGTGGGCGGCAGTGGAGGCTTGTCCTCCGCCAGAAGATATCGCTGATGTTGCTGCTGCGGCTTGGGTGCTGTACTCGGCGGAGCATTTGGTTTGTTGGGAGACTGTAAGCTGCCCAACGGTTTCGGTGGCAGGGCTATAAAGTTGGGCGACGGTTGCTGCTGCTGCTGTTGTTGTTGTTGCTGTTGCAGCTGCTGCTGCTGCTGGAGTTCGTAGAGCGTGGCTGGGTCATGGAGCTGACGCCTGTACTCCAGACTGCCATTCTGGAAGCCACCCGTGAAATCGTTGACATTCTGCATGCTCTGACTGCTGCTCATGAGAGGTTGCTGCTGTTGCTGCTGCTGTTGCAGGGGCAGCTGATGCTGTTGTTGTTGCTGCTGGTGTTGGTACATGTTGCTGATGTTGGGCATTGATGGAGCCATCATCTGCTGCATGCGCAGAGTGTGCTGGAAATTCTGCTGGCTCTTGGTGCGATTGTTCAAGGTGAGTTGGTGCTGCTGCTGCTGCTGGCCATTGAGATTGCTGCTGCTGAGGGCAAACTGTTGTTGCTGCAAGGAGTGCTGTTGCTGTTGTTGCTGCTGCTGCTGCTGGAGTTGCTGCTGCGCCGACTGTTGGCTGTGGTAGTACGCGGAGACGGGTCGAGTGGGCGGCAGATTAGCATTGGCCTGCAGGTGTTGCTGCTGCTGCTGGTAGGGAGATGGTTGTTGCTGTTGCTGCTGTGGTTGTTGCTGCGGCGCAAGCGGGGAATTGCCATTGTAGGCGCTCATGGCGGCATGTGCGGCCATCGGCGGTCTAAAATAAAAGCAATTAATATTAATAGGAGCCAAGGAATCAAGGGTGTTTCGTTGGTTGCTTTGGGTGTGTGACAAGAACTTAATCATTTACACCAATTAACTAAAACGTGTCGAGTGCTTCGAAAACATTTGTTTACCCTCCCTTCTCCCTCTGAACAAGTGGCGTGTGTTTATTGCAAAGGTGCGTGCCTCTGTACAGCAGCAACATTTTAAAAGGAACGACAGCAGCTAATTACTCACGTACTTGGGACATTTCTACAAGTTCATATTCTTTCTTAATGGGTATAAAGCCATAAAGTAATTTCTTTAAACGCAATGTCACCCTAGAATTACACACACGAGAGTTAGTAAAAATGTAAGCTAACACACACGTTTCAGCGGTCACACCCACACACTTCACCTGGCCTCGAGCAACACACCCAAAAACACCTTTGGATTCGTTGTAAATTATTAATTCAATTCTCTGGTTTGGTTTCATTTCTGAAGTGTGAATACCTGATGGTCAGGATTTTCGAGGGCAAACTGTATGAACTTGAGCGTTAAGTCGTTTGTGCTTATCTTTAAGTTATCAGTAATAACAAGGGAAACATGGATATGATCCGAATCATTATTAAGAAATAGCAGTCAATTTTAATGAAGTCTGCTTCAAAAACTACCGTAATTTCTACTAATTTGACTGTTATTTGTAAGTACATTTTCCATCTTTTCACCTAAAATCTTTTCTAATTTCGGTTGTTTTATATTGCGTTTTATGTAATCACAGATTTTCCGGCTCTATTGTGTGCAGAACAAACCCATCAAAAACACACCCATAACCAAAGCAAACCAAACAATTCCAGCGAGAACGATTTTAGTGGTCAGCTGAACACTACTGAATTTCAAATGAAATTTTTAAGTGGATATATGTGCAAAATAAATAACAGCAGCGGTAAAGACACTAGCATACAACTATTCAAAAGTTTTGCACAAAATTTAAGTTAATTATCTTTAGTTTTAACATTTCTAAATTATGCTAAAAACTTGCTTGATTCATTCCCCATTTTTATGCTTGCTTAAAACTAAAAATTCCCGAGACCCAAATATTACCTCTCGTTCAGAATCGGTTGGCTTTGATTTTGTGCCCGATACACGCTGAGATTTTGATAGAATCCCTGCTCGTTGCCGTTGCCATTTCCATTTCCATTTGCATTGTTGTGGCTGCCATTTGGCTGACCCAGCATTCCGGCCCCTCCGACTCCTCCGCCCATGCCCGATGAATTGTTATGCAAACTGTGCGTGCTGCGTGACTTGGAATTGGCCAGGGCTATGTTGAAAACGAGATGCATGGGGGGAAGAGAAAAATGAATTAGTCTCTGGCTTACAAGTCGATTGGATTGTGCTCCGATTACGGGGATTGGAGGAAGGGCTAAGGGTGTGCAGTTCACTTACATATGGTACCCGATCCCGAGTGGTGATGCAGAGCCGGCACCGATTTGCTGTTGGGCAGGTGTGCAGCTAAGGGATTGATGATGCTACTACTGTTGCTATTGCCTATGGTGTTGTTGTGGCTGTTGTTCAGATTTTGGCTAAGACTGAGACTATGATTCGGATGACTGTTGGCTATCAGTGGACCCAGGGATTTGGTCGACTCGGCGCCGCCCATCCGCGTCAGATCGCGTTCGGACATACGTCGATTACCTGCGGTTTTCACGTTCCCAGCAACATCGTCATCATCATCATCAACGTCAGCGATTTGAGTGCATGGTTTGGGATTCAAGAGTTGGTGGTGGAATTAAGGTAGATTGGTGCGCATGGAGGGGGAGAAAAATAGACGATAGACAGTTTGACATTTTAGTAATTTCCTTTCAGTGTGGCAATGCAGAATGTGTTTAGTATAATATTAATATATGCATACAAAATCGAATTACACAACTACAGCAAACTATGAAAATGTATTTACACACATTAATAAAAGCAAAAGTCAATAAAAAATATTCATCAGCAGTCGCCTATTTTACATATAAATATTTAATTCAAAAAGGAAAAGCGAAAAGTTCATCAATTAAAAAGGTCAACGCCGCTGCAAACAAATTAAATATGAAGCACATAAGTGGATGCAGAAACACCTGAAAATGAAAATACAACACTATACGATAATCTTTTAAAGTTGATTAAAAATAGGTGTTGAAATGTAACAAAAGCTTTTCTTTTGCTTTGACATTTCACAATAATATGCGTTTGATAAAGTGAAAACTATCTAACAAATACCGGAAAATCTCTAAAATCGATCCTAATGCCAAGAAATAATACAAGATCAACCTACAGCTCAACATAAAATTCAAAGAAATAAGCACAACAAATCTGTTTATAATAGCAGGCAAAACCAAGGGCTAATAAGTAGAACAACTAGGGGAACAACAAGAACCTCGGTGCAGCTTGGTTGGGTTGTCATCTGTGTGTCGGACACACTGTTGTTGTTGAAGGTGTTCTCGTTGAGCTGGGCAATGGCATTTTGACACAGTGCCCCTGTGCACCCTCATCGTCATCATTATCGCCCCCAAAGGAGCGGCCACGAATTTCGAGCACTTCGCAGTGAGCAGCACAACAGCTGGAGGAGGATTCACCAGCCGAGGAGCAGGACTCGACTTCGCTGCAGCTGCAGGAGTAGCAATCATCAGTGGCATCTCCGCAATTCGGACAGCTCTTTGAATTCCGCACATTGCTGCTGCTGCTGCTGCCTCGCTGGGTGTTGCTGCTACTAGTGGCCAGAGACAGCAGCAATTTGGCCGTGGAGGGCGGGGAGGCGGGCGCCCGTGGGCGTGTCTGCTTGTGACAGTGATGGTGATGATGATGGCGATGGCGAGGATGTGTGCTTGGCTTAGCCTTGTGTTGCACATGCTTCTGCTGTTTGTTGCGCTTCAGTTGCCGCACACTGTGGGCCTGGCGATTGCTGCACATGACACTTCGCCGGCAGCTGTCATATCGGGATAATTCCGGCTTCTCCGCCTCATCGTCCTGGCAACTGTCGTAGCATTTGAAGGTGGCAACTACCTGTTTGCCTTGGTGTTGCTCTTCTTGCTCGGGGGTCTTGCCACGACAATGACTGCAGCAGGGGCAATCACAGCTTACTCCTGACTTTTCCGCCGCATCGTCGTAATCCTTGCCCGCACTGCCATGCAGACTCCACTCCTTCAGCTGCTTGAGGATGTGGCCCTGCTCGGCCTGAGAAAGTTTGGCACACGGTTTGCTGCCGGGATCGTCCAGTGCCGACGTGGATCGGGACTTGTTAATGCTGGGCGGGAAGTTCTTGTGGGCTTCGAAGTAGTCTGCCATCTCGCGGACTTTTCCCTGACCCAGGGGCAACAAAAAGCGGGGACTGAGGTTCACCTGGCTACTGGCCCTTCGGCTGTTTGCCTGCATGGTGGTGCTGGGAATGGTTTTGGTGTTGGACTTTAAGGTGGTGCTGGCACAATATCGATTGCTTGTATTTACAGTAGGAGAACAGGTGGAGGAACTTTCGATTTCACACACACTAGGAACTTGGATGCTGACAATTGGGGCAGCCGGAGCGACTCCTGACCTTTTGTGCGAGCGCTGGGTGTTAAGTTGCCGTTGGCAGGGTGACTGGTTCTGCCGGAGCAGCGGCATGCGCTCGATGGATTCGCTAGACGAGCGCTGGCTATTGGACCCGGAACTAAAACCATCCGCGGAGCAATTCGTTGCTCTCTTGCTATTTAACTCCCTGCGTATCTTTTGTATCAAGGGAATCCTTTCCGATTGCTCTGCCATCAGCGACTCCGTGGAGGAGGCACTGGCTGCAAAGTGGCTGATGGCATCGTGGGTATGGTACTTTCTGTCGATGCCCGTGGCTCCGGGCTCAGTAGCTTCTTCCGTTTGCTCCAGATCAAAGCTAACTGTCTTTCGATATCCAGCCGAAGGATTTCTTTTGACAGTGGACGAGCAACCAGACATGCAGGGTCGATTCTGCTGCTGCTTCTCCTCCTCTTCGTCGTCTATAAAAGGAATCTCATCTGAATGAGCCATGGATGCAATACCCTCTTCATTCAGCGGCTGATGGGCGTCACTGTAGGCGGCAAAGTTCCCGAACGATTCCTGCGAGTCCTTGGCCGGCTCATCCTGATACTCCTCGATGTAGATGGAAGGCGGGGGAGTTCTCCTCAGCGGTCGCATGGGACTAAAGTGGGTAACAGAGGGAGCCATCGGCGGTGGGTGATAGTAGCCACCCTGGTCGTTGCCCAAGTACAAACTGCTGGCAGATCGCGCAATGGGTCTCGTGTCCCGGTACCTCGGATCGATGTGCAACTGGTGGCCCAGCGCACACAGCTCCTCCTGCAGACACGAGGCACTCAGGCGTCTCACTGGCGGCGAGGAGGCCCGCATGCAGGCAAAGGATTCGCGACGACTCCTATTGAGACTGTCGTCCGAGATGGAGTTGCTGTAGTAACGAGCTTGCTGCTGAAACGAGGAGTGACGACGCTGCTGGCCGGGATTCGGATGCTGGAGAAAGTTGCTGGGAGAAGCTTCTAGCGATTCGAGTGGAGCAGCATGGGGAATGGGTTACTTGGTTACTTGGTTAGCTTACACAACGTGAGTACGGTAGAGTAGAGTAGTGGGTGAGTAGTATCTTGGATGATTGAGTGAGTTGAGTGTTCTTAGCGTCCTACCCAGCACCTGGAGTCGCTCTAATGTGTGTGTTTTGTACTGATATGTATGTGCACTCCGTTGGGAGCTACTCACCACGCTGGATGACCGGGCTGGGCTGCTGCAGCAGGGTAGCCAGTCCGTGGTAGATTGCTCCCTGCTTGGCCACCTCCAAGCTGACCACCGGGCCCGTCCGCACCAGGTAGTCCGCAGCCCTAGAAAGAGAAGCTCGGAAATAACCAGAGATCTTCAAGGAAATAGAATTAATATCCGTACCTCTCTTGGGTGATCCCAATCAGGCTCTGACCATCTACGCGCAGCAGCTGATCGCCAGCTTGCAGGCGCCCATCCGCGTCCGCCGCTCCGCCAGGAACCACGCTCTTTATGTAGATGCCCAGCTTCTCCTGGCCAGCTCCCTTGGCTGCCACGATGGACAGGCCCATGCCGTTGCTGTTCTTGTGCAGCTTGATCAGCTGCAGCTCCGGCTGGGGCAGCTTGTTCGACATGGCGCTCGAGCTGCGGGCCTGCAATGGATAAAAATGAGCGTTAACGAGGATTAAAACAAAAGAGATCGCTATAGTCGGGTTGGTGTCCCGACTATCTAATACCCTTCACTCAGCTAAAGGGAGTGCGAACACTGTACATCTCAACCTTCTAGCTTTTGTAGTTTCTGAGATCTCAGCGTTCATACAGACAGACAGACGAACAGACGGAGAGACGGACATGGCTAGATCGACTCGGCTAGTGCCCCTGATCAAGAATATATATACTTTATGGGGTCGGAAGCGCTTCCTTCTAGCTGTTACATACTTTTGCACGAATATAATATACCCTTTTACTCTACGAGTAACGGGTATAAACACCAAGGACCCACAAGACTCACGTTAAATTGGTGCATGTAGACCGTCCAAAGGCCTATCGAGGTGGGCTGGGCCGCCAGGCGACACATGCCCTGCTGCTGGAGCGGATTGAGGAAGTCGACGAGGCCTGTGGGAATGCCGCGCACAACATCGCAGCTGAATCCGTCGTCGGGAAGCAGTAGCGCCAAGTGCAGCTCAGGGGACTCCTCCAACCGCACCTCTCGTCCATCGGCACGGGTCAGCTCGTCAGCCACGGACTCCGCCATCCGAATGGCCGTGTCCACCAGGTTCCTGGGCAGCTTCTCCTGCTGCAGCAACGCAGCCATCTGCAGGGAATTCAAGCGGAAGCAGGAACAGGCCAACTGTTGGATCTCCTCTACGGAGGATTTGGGTGCTTGCAAGAACTGCGCGCACTGGTTAATCTTGGCCAGATGACAGTCCGCCGCCAGTTCCAGTCCCTGCCGTTCTGCCCACAGTTCCAGCAACTGTAGTCGCTCTGTCATCACTTTTCCCCAATCCGCTGTGCACATGTGAGAGTTTGCCACAATCTGGGAAAGGAGGGGAAAAACAAATTAGTGGTTGTGGAAGAGAAGTTGGAGAACCAGTGATGCCAACTACTAGACTTTGAGAATTTTTAGATCCCTTTTGACATCACTGGGAGTAGAAAACCTGGCCATTTGTAGGCCGCTCACCGTATTGAAACATATGACATTGATGTAGTGGAATAACTGCGAGAACAGCTGAATGGTCAAGGCTGCATTTACGCGACACCGCCGAAGAAGAGCCATCGCCGATCCCAGGACTGTCAGCACGAGACCCGCCGCGGAATCGTGATCGATGTTCTCGGAGAGAAACTGGTTGAGGGTCTGGGAGAGCTCCAGTCGGAAGCAGTTGACCAGGTTGCGGAAAGCGGTCTGTACGGCCTCGGCCAAAACCTCCTGAGCCTGAACGCTGAAGGCGCTGATGTGACGATCCGACTTAAGGAAGTGCAGGAACTCCGAGCTGTTGGCCATCCAAAAGGCCAGGATTCGGGGATCCGTGTACTGCTCCTGGACAACGCTGTAGACCAGATTGGCCACATGGTGCAGGAACATGGTCAGCTTGTGGGCACGCTCCGTGGGCTGCAGCTCCGGGCGATAGTGTGTGGAGGCTCGATACCTGCGGAAAAGTTAATTTTCTTTTAATCAGTCTGCATTAAACTCGTATCTATTGATTTTCACGCCCGTCAAATGTCAAAGTTCCCTGTTCCCCCAAATGGCTGGATGGTTTCCTGCTCCTGCTGTTTCAGCCCGGCCATTTCCCTTTCCCAACGCATCCTGCTGTCAGAACACATTAATATTAATAGCTCACAAATTGGGTCAGCAGCCAAGATAAATCATCATAATTGATAATGAATTGTTGATACTGGCTGCTGCTTCTGTTCGAGGGGGGTTGTTGAACAACTGCCCTCTGGAACATGTAGATCCACTTTATGTGTGGACATTTGTCAGCTGGTATTAGCTGGTCTCGGTCCATCTGTAATTTGTCCATGTCTATGGGGTCTTGTTAAATGAAGCTCTGATTTTGGAATTGAAATATAAATGGATTCATCGAAGGACAGTAAACCTATGGGAAGCGGGGTCGAGTAAGTCAGGTTATCTGCCACATCTATCTCTCGATTGGCAGATGATTAAGTATATGAACATAAATTGAAGTAGTCACTCAACTTGAGAGATAGGTAACAAGATAAATTAATTCAATTACACTAATTGTTTTTAGCGATTTTCCTGTTATTCTTATCCCTGAAAATACTTTGAAAGAAATAGTAAACATTTTCTTTCAGCTTATCATTGAAATTGGGATATTATGATTGACTTTCTTTCTTTTACTACACCACCTATTAAATTCTGAAAGCTTTCCAAATTGTATTATTTCAATTAAATAAGTACACCGATACATTCAAAACAACAATTAAAGCCGAACAAGCGCAGTCACAGCTTTCATCATGCTCTTCCCCATTACAATGGTCCCCCTTAATGAATTACCCACCTGGCACACAGGTAAAGCGAGTAGACGGGTGCCAGCTTAAAGTGCGGAACGTTCACGTCCAGCTCACTGATAATGTGACGCAGAAAGAGTTCCTGATGAGTTTCGGGGAACTCGAGGACAGCCGGCAGAATGGGTTCCTGTCCCTGGGCATCGCCGGAACCACTGCCACCTCCGGTCAACATACCAGAGCCGGCCATTTTGGGTGACCTACATATCGAAGAGGGTTAATCGATTAGTACACAGTACAACAGAAATACAGAAATAAATTGAATAATATGAAAAGCAGTAGAGACATTGCAAACGGGAAAGTATACATTTGCGTAAGGTTAAAGCGCACACAAAATATTGAACAAAATTATAAATTAATCAGACAGTGAATGAATACAATTATTGCTTTATGTTTATGTGTATGGAACTTGTGTTGGCTTTCCTGCTTATTCGGAAGATAGAATTTTGAATAATTTTAGAGTAAGTACCCGGATCGAACTCGAATCTTACCGATCTTGGCTGTTGGAACCACCTGACTTCATGCTGGAAATTGACTTGGTCTCGTTTTCCAGATTCCCCTCAAGGCTTTGACCATCGTAGTTCGCAGAGTTGGTCACCTGATCCTGCCCAACCTTGCTGTCCACCACATCCCTTAGCGTGCTGCTGAGAGGATGATCACTGGAGTTGTTGTTATTATTGTGATAGGCACTGGATTGATTCGATTGCTGGTGGTGTTCGTAGTCGCTTTTGTGAGTCTAAGGGGTGATTTTAAAATTTTTTAAAAATTTTAGGGAAAATTACAAGAAAATACCCACCGAACTCAACGCTCCATCCTCGTCATTCCAGGATCCGGGGGACGTGGGGGACCGGCTGCCATTGTCCATGAGGTATTCGCATCGTTGGGTAGATGGTTGGTGGTTTTTCAGGTGAGTGTGTGGGTGTGTGCAAATTGTTTTGCATATTTGTTGGGTAATTTTTTCGGTTTGGTGAGTGCATGAGATTAATGTTTTACACAAACAATAAAAACAAACAACACGTAACGAAACATAAACGAACAGTACAATAAGGCGTGTAAATAAAACAAAAATACATGAATATAAATAAATGCGCAGCATACGAAAAGAAACCTCCCTCGAATAAATTTCTAACATTTTTAAATGTCTCACCTAAAAGTGAATTAAATTGTTTTAAATTTGCACATTCTGGCAGCTGAGTGGGAAAATTCTAAAGTCGCATATAGAATAGGATATTCATAAAAAGAATGCGTGAGTTATTCGGAATGCCAAATGGAAAGAAGGTAATTTTTGGAATATTCCCGGAAAGATGACTTCTTAATTGGCCTAATTTATGCTGAGTCTAATACAGCTTCTTTTTAAAACAAGTCAGAAGCGATGTTATTAAAATATTATTTAATTTGTCCAAAATATTCATGAAAAAATTTGTTCATTTTTAGTTTTTTTTATGAATTTGTATAGCATAGCTTTGGATTTAAAATGCTTAACATATGAGAACAAACTAATTTCTCAGCAAAGAATCCTGTTCAATCCAATTAAATTAATGCACTCTGATTTGTAAACCCTAATCCGTATTGATTGGAAAGAAATACAAAATAAAACAATCACAAAACAGTTGCTGACAAAGCATTTGGCAAATTAAGCGCAAGCGTAACATAAATACTCTCACTAAATTCAGGACATACTTTAATCTACCGGATTACTCACCTTTCGTAGAGACATGCCGAGTCCAGTTGGGATTGCGATAGAGCCAGATTATAGCGCCCGTCCGTGGGAGAATCCAGGAAGCGGTACGAGGCCACCCGTCCGAACATTACGACCGATCCGTTCTGTGGATGGCAGATGCGAAGCACATATGAATTAATTATATTTGCAGACCGGTGTGACGAGGGTTAATGTGTTAAAACCCATTTAAGTGATTTAATAATTGTAATTAAGTGCGGCTATTGCTCAAATATTTACACTGCGAAGGAAGAGTGAAGCACACTGGCTGACAGATTCTGGGGCACTGAGTCTGCGATTGGAAAATTTTCGGGGCGTTTTGAAATCAAAACTGGCAAACAGAGACGCCCCTCTCTGGGGGGAAATTCGAATGGAGACTTGTGTTAATTTTTTACGTTTTTGTTGCTGGCTATCTCTTTTTCCGTTTGTTTGTGTTTCCCTCTAATGCTGATTAGCTTGGTGAACAAATCTTTGACACACACAACCCAAAGAGAGAATTCGATTTGCATTATTTTTTGTTCAGGTTCATCGAACCGCAGCCAACCCCAATTTGCCAATTGGAAAAAAAATTAATTCCATACCATAACAAAAAGGAGCTAACAAAGCCAATGACAGAAAATAAAAAAGAAAAATGTTTTTCGTTAAGTTAAAAAAAATACTTGCTCCTCTCTGTGTTTTTCAGGATAATTCCCCAAAGACAGTTTGAGGTTATCGCCGAGCTGGGAGCTTATCTCTGCTTCAGTCTTTTACAGAAGATAGGGGAAAGGCAGAACTTTTCTCTGTTTATTCGGTTTCAAATTTATCAAGCGGAAAGGCAAAAACAACAGAAAAAAGAATACACTGCGCGGCCAAGTTTGCTGGTTTTTTAGGCATTCCCTTTGACTTTTCCGCTAATGCGTGAGAACGCCGAAAGCCAATTTGATTAATTTCCCCAGTTGTTGTAGTTGTCACTGACGTTTTGTTTGTGTTTCCGTTGTATGTCGAAAAGTTGTCAAAACAAAAGATAAATCAGCGGCGACTCAAAGCTTGTGGGATGTGTTTCCTCCTGGCACATTGCTATCTGCGGTTTTATTGCCTTCCAAACTCAAACTCAAAGCTGATAATGAACTTGAAGTGCAAATGAATGGGAATTGAAAGGTCCAACTCAATGCGGCTTCAGTTTGGCAATGTGTGCTTCTGAGTTGTGACAGTCATGTTACTAAATTTAAACTCAGAAAATGTAAATTCTTCTAAGACATAACAATCGAATCTAATTAATTTTCCTAAATTTTTTTAAATATTTCAATGGATTTATATAGTTTATTTTTTAAATAGAACTTTAAAAATGAGTCCCTTAACTTTACTATAATATTTTCCATTTAATCAGAGCTCGAGTTTACGACTATTTGAAACTTTAACTAATAAATTAAACTGTTTAAGACTTCTACCCTTTTTGCTTTCAATTACTTGCGACTTAGTTTAACTTTAAAGCGTAAATCAATTCCAATGCTCATTTATCTTCCAGTTGATTCCATTCGAAAGTTGTCCCCATAAACGCTTGACTAAGCCAGGACGATTATTGGCTTGGACCTTCTCAGACAGTCGGATCCACGAGAGTCCCACAAATGTAAGAAGGCAAATAACAGCCGAATGGAACTTGGCAGCTTTTAAAGCCTTTAAACTTCAACCGGGTCAAGGTCGATGGCGAAACTTTTCCTCGCAGCATTGCCTGCTGCTGTCAAATTAAGCATACGCCTCGGGTGACGAGCACGAAAATTTAACTAATTAAAACGAATTATTCGCAATTAGTTAATGGAGGGATAGACAAAAGGTCACCCCTAACCGCACATAAGTTACGAATGTACTGTCGTGGATTAGGCTCTAATGCATTTTCAAAATTTAATTTTTAAAGTTATAAACCTTGAAATAATGTAAAATATTTTATTTCTACAACAAAAAATTACGATGAATGCCCAACTAAACTAAATGCCATTTATATCGCATTTTTAATGATACAATGGCTAAGATTTAACTTAAACAAGGGAATATTTGTACCAAATAAATTTAAATTTATTGGTTCGACTTTCTTTGATAATTGAAACTGAACTTACATGGAGAATAGTCGGCTGACTGATGTGATGCCCGTTGACGAAGGTCAGGGCATCGGTGTGCAGCGGGGTCACCGTACAAACTCCCTCCAGCAACGAAATGAGGCAGTGCCTTGGCTGGATCGAAGGCCCGAAGAGCTGCAGGCAATTTGTGTTCGCCGATCCCACCTCCACGGGATCGCTGCCCAACTTGATCCGTCGACCGCCATCGCCGCTGTGCGTCACTTCCACTAATACAGGACCCTCACGATCGCCGGATATGTGGTTAGCCCCGTTGGCCGCTCCCAGGGGTTTTTTCTTTCGTCTCCGGGGCTGGGAGTCCGCTGGACGTCTCCGCACATGGAACATGATGGAGCCTGTAAAAAAAAGAAATCCATACATCAGTGACGGTAATAATTTAGTCATAGGTAAAATTACTTGCTATGTTCATGTTAAAAATTTAAATTAAATATTTGCGCGACTATAAAATACAAAACAATATGCATCAGCAGCTTTTTTAGCTGCCTTTTGTCTTTAGTGTCTCGTCGGGAAGTGCAGTTTGGGCTGAGTGCTGCAAAATTTTAAATCTCTGCCACTCAAATGCATGATGATTGGCATGACAGTCGTGGCAATATATATTGAGATACTTTCAAGTGATTAAAAAATAATTTTAAACTTAAATGTCCAAAAATGTTTTATTAACATTTAACATGTTTTTCTTCTTCTTAAAAATTAAAAATATAATTTAATTGGATTATATGCAAATGTTAATAAAAAGGGTTATTTTTTTGTTTACTTCAAAGAGTAGGGTTCTATATAATGGTAAAGTTTCTAACTATCCCATGGCATCCCAATATAGTACCCATTAGTGTTAAACCCGCCGAACACTCTCTGCAATCTCATCGCATCAGTTCACGTCGGATGTAACAAAGGCAAAATAGAAATTCCGAAAACGAAATCCAATTCGGGCTGCATCATCAATTTCAGTCTCGATATTAGATGTTCATTTTGCGAGCCAGCGAAAAACAATCAAGACTCCAGAGACTTTGCCAGAGGCCAGACTGAACCAACTGACTGACTGACTGGCTAACTGAATAACTGAGCGACTGACTGGCAGACAGTTCAGTGGCAAGTTTTCGCTGGCTGGTTCTTTGATATGGAAATTTATATACAACATTCCGTAGCTTTTCACAGACGACAACTGCAACAACAAATCGGCGACGTAGATTCACACACATCAAATTTGGATTTCAGAATATAATATAGCACAAGCATGTAGGCCAATATTTTTGTGAGCTTGAGTTCGTCTATTGAGTTACCCAGGAAAATAACAAAAGCGGAAAATCAAACTTTTCATTAAAAAAAACCATAATTGACTAATGCTATTCTGTCACCTGTTTATCTGTAGTATCTGATCATTTAAATGGTAATTTATTTTTGGAAATTATGTTAGCCATAATGGTGGCAATAATTGATTTAAATATAATATAATTTTGGAATCGAGGCCTGCCTTAAATCGATTGGCATTCTGCATATACATTCCAGGTCCCCCAGCATACCCATCTTTGCTGTTTCAGCTGCTGTTTATTGTACAGAATGCTTAACGAAGCATGCAAAATGTGATGGCAGTTACAGCAGCACCATCCTTCCTCGATTGCCACCTCCCCCACTGATGCCCCCACGGTTTTGGGGCAAATTGCAGCAGATGATGGCAAGATGCAAGACCAGACGTGGCATGTGCCAACGGCATTTGGGCAATGCAGGCTAAATAAGGCATGACATGGGCGTGGCATGTGCAACTTATTAGGCAAGAAGGGAGCGGCGCAGGGAATATGGCAATAGGGCGGAAACTCCAGGGAAATCTAGCCATGCTTTCAAATTGAAAACTTTAACAATAAGCAACAGCAAAAACAGCAAAAACAGAAACGGTTACAAGAACGACAATTGGCAAAAGAACAACGTAAAACCAAATGAATTTCTAAATATTTCTATTGTATAATACCTTCTTTGCGAAACCAAAAGAACCACATCTGTGTTTCTGTGTATTTGTCGGCGTTGCTGGGACAGAATTATTATTAATATATGGCTCGGCTCTCACATGGCTTAAAGGTCCGGACTTGGGTTTCGCCTTGTTTTGGTGCCGTTGAGTAAAACTTTTCCGACAACTTTCTGGGCGCTCACAAAATAATCAACTCAAAAATGTGGGGTGCCACCAAACAGAAAGCAAACAAAAAGGCAGCCAAAGCTTAAGGAAACGAAGCCAGAAACATGAACACGCTTCATATACTTGATGTCGAGAGAGCCTTGAATGGGATGACTGAATAATCTCCTTGTTTGGATTGCAACTTGTTTAGAGTTGAGCCGAAGGATAGTTGAAAGCAACTCAGGCGATGAAGTTGATCGGAGATTATGAAGGGGTTGACTACTATAAACTGTAGCTGGAATTTCGTCTTATAAATTGGCCTTTAAGCCAAATTTTGTTATGAAAGTTATAAATAGATAAAGTTATATTTATTTTTTGAAGATAAATTTCTTTTAAAATTATTAAAATATTTAATATTTAAGCTACAAATTTCTTCTTTTTTATTTAAAGAAATTTTCGATTTCTTTAACCCCAATCTCTGTAACAACTTTCTTTTGCTAACTGCCATTGACAGCTCCCAATAATAGTGTTCACCAGACCAGGTAATTTATGACCAAACCATGCACGGCATATGTACAATTGTAAATCAATCAGTAAATGGACAAGTTAGACAGGTTGCTCGACTGGCAATTGAAGTAGTGCCCCTCATTTGGCATGCATATAGAAACAGGACTTCAGCTCCTTTCACTACACATACAAAAAGGTCAAGGCTCATACATTGAATTTATTTCAAAACTTAAAACATATAGACTGTTACATTTTAATAATTGCATATTTATTATATCATAATCATATCATTATCAATAAAGAAATTTAAAAAACATATTACAAATATTTTTTGAGGATACTTTACATACAACAATTTTTGTAAGTGCACTTCCAGCAAGCGAACGAAGGCAAACAACATTTCGTCCTTGGCAGTTGACATTTGGAAAGCAGAAACGAGGGGCACATTGATAAAGTGCAGTGCCAAACGGATGCCAGAAAAATCATTTTAATTGTTCCTACTTGGTCAACAGCTTGGCCGGAGCAAAGGTAGTAGCACCCACTCGCCACTCGCCACTCACCACTCACCGAGCCACCATTGTTGACACAAGAAAACGAGCAAATTGCAAAAGCCATCAAAGTGAGGGGGCGAGGGACTGGTCGGTGGGTGGATGGGTGAATGGGTGGTTAGGGGGCTCGGGCGTAGACGAACGAGCCATGAAATTGATTCGGCCAACAACGTGCCAGGATCATGTGTGAAGCCTCCAACTGTCCTTGTGTGTGAGGCTGTATGCACGTGCATAAGTGCGAATAAATTGGCAACAGAGCACAAAGGACAGAAAGTGAGGGGAGCGCATTTTACAGAGCGAAAAACAATGCAGGGAAATTGCATAACGAGTTGAGTGACTGGGGCAGAGTCCGCACCAGGATAGGTATCACCACCCATCGCCTGCCCGTAAGGTAATCCACAAAACTGTGGATTCCCTGTGTGCCAGGAAAAGCGGAAACTGGGGCCACCAAGCGTTGGGCGCATTAATTTTTATTAGCGCAGCTTGTGCTCTAATGGCCAAAGCGATTAGAAAAGAGGAAAGTGGGCTGCGCGAGTGCCCCATTCGAGTTGGTTAGAAAGGAATTTTGCAGGCATAAATCAGAAGGAAGGTCCCCACTGGTCTTGAATTATACCCTAAAATTGGGGACAACCTACTCAAAATGTTTAACAGATTAAACCAAATAAAATGTTTTAAAGAATAAAAAAAAGGTAAAATAGATTGGACAAAAATATAGATCTTTATGGGAAAGTTTAGAGTTTGATGAAGTTTTAAGCCCCGTGGTTTCTTTTGTAGAGTATTCAATGTGCAGCCCGACCATTTCATTGTGCTGTTTTTAATTAGTCGAACAAACGGCAGAAAATGAAACTTTCGCTTCAAACTTGGCAGCAGAGGATGCCAGAAAGCGAGCAGAACACCCCCAAAGAATTTAATTAAAAGTGTAATATGGGGAAAAAATATATATTTTAGAAAAATAAACTTTTCAATGCTTTTCTGAACATGCAGAGGAGAGATGCCGAGGGAGAAAAGCGCCCTTTGCTTGGCCTAATTGACTGAGATTGATTTTACCAGCAGCAGCAGCCTGAGCTCTCAAATTAGCCAAATTAGTCGTAAAACGTGGCGGCTTTGACTCTGCAAACCGAAGAAACCAAAGGAGCCACGTCCCCGCCCAGGCACGTCCTCATAGAAAACTCCAGCCACCGAACCACACACCCAACCACACCCTCTCCCCTTCCCCTTCCCACGAAGGGGTAAGGGGTGGAAGCTTTTCACGTTGTGCAAATTAAAACAATGAAAATTTAATGAGCCAAGTTTTCCCCTCATGCAGGAAGTTTTTCCTCCTTTGACCAAAGTCGGACACCTCCACTGGGCAGGCGACACGACAGCATAGTTTAATCCTCTTGTAAGCCCCAACAAACATCATATAAACTTCCCTCAGCTAACGGCCATTTTGCGATTAATATTAGCAACGGCTAATAAAGGATGTTGATTTACGTTAATGGCTTTTATTGTGGTGGAAATTGATTAAATATTTCAAATTAATATATATTTAAAAGCTTGCCAAATTAAAAATTTTTGAAATGGAAAGAAAAAAAAATTTATTGAAAGAGTTAAGACTGGAACAAACATGGGCATTTTGAGCATTTATTCTCAATATACCACTAGGTCTTTGACAGAGGTTTCCCCACGTTTTGAAACCCAGTCAGTAATCCAAACAAGTTATTTATTTTTCAAGCATCCAAGAGAAGAAGTAATCGTAATCGATGCACAAAATCAAATCATCCAGTGGCTTCTCCCCCCTCACATTTAACCACCCATTCCCATCAGCCAATCGCCTTTGGCGTCGGACGGCAGCCTCTATTCAAGTCAAGTGTTGCCCAGAACGGCGGTTACCAACATTTTTGCTAGACAATTTGGCAACAGAAACAATAAAAATATAATTGCCACACTCAAGCTGAAGCGCGGGGTCTTTCCTTTTACCAGACTCTAAGCGAGAGAATAAAATGCGAGGGGGAGAAGTAAGAGAATGAAATCTCATCGGTCAGTGGGCGGGGGAGTGGGGTCTGTGAAAAGTTGGGAGATGGAAATGGAGGTGGAAAGTGAGAGGAGTTGATAGCTTGATTGGATTTTGCAGACTGTCCGTGACTGCGAGTGAGTTGTCCCTTTACGTATTGTAAATGGTATTCATTGAAAAGGACGC